ACAGCTGCAAGCTATTTACACCAAAAGAGTGTGAAAAGATCTTCGGAGGTGTTATTTTACACTCGTAGTGTAGATTTACACCAATTCGGTGTTCACACAGCTGCATCTAGTTAACACTGAAAAGGTGTATTTTAACACCAAAATGATTGTAAGTAAACACTAAATCGGTGTCCACACAGCTGCAAGAATTTACACCGATTTCGGTGTTGTGGTAACACTCCCAGATTTACAGTGTATTTGGCATCTGTGTGAAATTAGAATTCGTAAAAACGTTTCTGCTTTGAGTGCCTATAGGTAGTTTAAGTTATCCTGGCTAATGTCGGAGGTTTTCTTTTTCAAGCAAATAGACAAGGAAAGCTTGACTTTTAAAGTGTGATAACCAACAAGTACCATATGTACCTTGTCATTGAGTACAATCCTTTGAAAGATACTGTAACTAGTGCCAGGTTCCAGCGGGCCATTATAATAATCACTCGTGGTTGATCTGCGTTTTCGTGATGTTGGATTACTTGTATTTCTGCCATCACCAAGTATAAACATGTTTTCATAAACTCCGCTGGATGCAACAACTGCAGCGATATAAGGTTTCGAATTGGTTGATTTTATTGCCTCCGCATACGTCACTAGCTCGTTGTTCTGGTAACTATCAAATGATGTAGGTTTCTTGCCGTCTTTTAATTTCAAAGCCACCACGTAGAAATAACTACAAACAAAAGTTTACCTTCTTACTTCAAATATAACAACCGTTAATAATAGATCCAAATAATACCTACCTAATATCTAAGACTAATCTTAATGGAAGCTCAGTTTCTATTCGGTCATGATGATGGCGATTATGTGAATGCGATCGATGTAACAGAGAGTTGACTTATGTATGCAATGAAAATTAAAAATAATTTGCATCCAGTATACACAACAACAAGATATGGACCACGGAAGCTAGACTTTAATGTTACCATGAGAAAGTCGGTAAACTTACACAAACGTTTTTGATGGAATTTCCAACGAAAATGTTAGCGTACTTGGCGTCATTTCTGTGGCCTTCTTTCCTGCTCCTGGATCGAGGAAAATATTAATGAGTAAAATGTATTGCCATAACGAAGTTCTGTGTAGGGTTTTTGAACTGCATAAAAGTAGGAAAACATGAAATAGACAATTCCAGCCATCGACTAATTTTTTTCTAGACAAGAAAGACGAAATATATCATAGACCTTATTCATAAATCGTGACGAGGCCTCGTATCCTAGGATACGGGAACAAAACGCGGGAAAACAAGTGAAAACTGCTTGACAAGCCAAATTCAGATGCTATTGTGTCGACTTTAACGGCTTGTTTCTTGTTGCTTTTTGCGATTTATAACGATTTTTGTGTGTATTTTAAGACTTTGTGCCCACAACGAAAGCGGTAAACGAGTATATTATAAAAGCGACCGGTTTTTCTCCCGTTTTTGCGTGAAAAAAATTACAACGTAGCGATGGTGTTTATCCAGAAGCGAAACACAGTATTTTACTGAGATTTTAACGTCAATATAAAGGTTTATTCCGTGAAGAATCAAGACAACTATGGAATGGAAGTATAATTTTTCGAATTTGACATAAATATGAAAGAAAATAACAGTCAAAAATCACAAGAGAACGTCAAATGTTATTGATTCGTACGGAAAAATATGAACTAATGACTGTGGCTCGATAACATTCTGCAAGCAGCTTACAAGTTTAAAAAATGAAGGCTACATTACCTGAGTGAGTTGTAATCTTATTTCTTCAACAATTGTTTCATATTTCTTACGATTTTGGTGTTGTATAGACGTTTTGTAGCCTTGTTGGTTGTTTGTTTCGGCCATACAAACCTCGATACAAACTACGACAATAATACAAAGTCAAAGGTTTCCTTTTTCGATTGACTCCAGCATCTTTTGCTTTAAATATCATGTTATATTTTCTCAGAAGTATTTTTTTCAACTTTCAAGCTCAGTTTTATAGATATATTTTTGAAAAAAGCCGTAATATTCACGAAAAAAAGCTGCCATAGCCGACAGCAGAAAAAACATTTTGTCAATTTTCCCGCGTTTTGTTCCCGTTTCCTGGGATACGAGGCCTCATCACGATTTATGAATAAGGTCTATTATAGCTCAAAAGAGCATCCTAAAATTTGTAAAATTGCGAAATGTTGTAAAATACGGAAAAAAAATATGTCCCTGTGAAATTAGCACATTTTCAACACTTTCGGCTAAAAATGGTTATTTTTACCGCGTGTAATACTAAAATACTGAAAATTTGCTAATTTCACATGGCTATATTTTCCGTTAGTATTTTACAACATTTCGCAACCAAACTTTGCAACTTTACTAATTTTAGGATGCTCTTTTGAGCTAAAATTATATATTTCGTCTTTTTTGTCTAGATAAAAAATTAGTCGATAGCTAGAATTTTATTGTGAATAGACGTTTTCGTCACAACAGACAATATCTAAATGTGCAGGTTGTACTTACTTCCATTCGTAAAAAATCCTTCACTTTGACTGTAAGCACTACTTCCAACTTTATTACTGGAAAGAACACGGACATAATATTTTGTTGATACGTTCAAATTTCTGACAATCCACTCTCTTTCACTTGTGATATATATTTTGAAGCAAGGGCCATTTTCTGAATGTGAAACACACGCAGTATAACTGATAATGACGCCATTTTGTTTATCTTTCTCAGGAGGATCCCAGGTGAAAGACAATGATGATGCACTTCTTGATGAGGTTTTGATGTTTAATGGAGGACCGCTTGGAGCTAAAGAATAAAAACAAGGTTTGGATTTAAATCAATATAATTTAAAGTCGAACATTTTGAATATACAATGAGTCACGTCATTACGTTTTGATTACCTTTGGTGCAAAGACACTAACCTGGAATATGAAAACATTTGATCGTAAATGTGACTTGTTTGGGGGTTACATCTTTTCTTAAACGACAGTAGGGAGGGAAAATATGGTAGAAAATGGTTATTTTAAAGAAATGTCGAAAAATTTTCTAGAGGCGCTCTGAGTAAGTTTCTTGAACTAAATATGTAGAAGAGGGGAAGGTTTCCGCTCTTTTTTCTGATTTTAGTCCGTGTTCGCGACACGTTTAGGAGGATAAGCAAACTGGAGACGAAAAGAAAAGCATCAAAATTTTAAAATGTTTCGTGCGCAATGTCGTCAAAAGGCCTAATACACTCGTTTGGCAGCGATGATTGCGACAGAAACACATCAAGAACTTCAAAAACAAAGCGGGAAAACGAAACTGTGTGTTCGAATATAATTTGGCTTGGAACACTGATATGTAACAAGTTATGTCCAAGATTGTAGTCTATAGTTGAACTATTTGTAATTCAATTTGGTACAAGAGACTACTCCAGACGAGCTGCGTTGAAAATATACGTTGAAAACAATCAATGAACAAGCGAATGTTATTGACCCATTAGGGCCATTTATACGGAACAAAATAAGTCGCGACTTACATAAGACGCGACTTAAATAAGCGGAGTTATCGCATAAATGGTTCTCTACGGCTTTGGTCTTATTTATTTGCTATAGCTATAATGTTGTTTTGGTTGTTTTTGTTTTAATATGCAAGGCTAATAATTTTACGTTGTTTCAAGTTTCTGGCATGTGTATAGTCAGACTTTTTGCCCAAAATTTCTTATTTAAGATAAGACGCGACTTAAATAAGAACAGCTAAAAGACCTGTTCTTATGTAAGACGCGTCTTATCCAAGACACGTCTTACATAGAATTTTGTACCTTTTATACGACAAATTCGCGTCTTACTTAAGTCGCGTCTTATGTAAGTCGCGTCTTATTTTGTTCCGTAAAAATGGCCCTAATGTGATGGTGAATTAACCTAAACCAAGGGTGTGCTCATGTGTGGACTCATGTGAAATTAACGAGTCTGTCAACGCTCTGCCGAAAGTCGTGGGTTTTCTCCGGGCGCTCCGATTTCCATCGACATTGAAAGTTGAGCAGCAGAGTTAGGATGAAACATAGTTAGGAATGTAATATCACAATTGTTGAAAAAATAAATAGTCTATACTTAGGAGATAATATAAGTAAGCGTAATACTTGATGTAATCGGTCACTGAAAAGCCCCGATGGGGAGTGAACTGAATAATCATAATCAATTTTTCAGCAAGGCGATGTGTTTCTGCATGGATGTATTTTCGAACTCTTCCTTATTCGTGATTTTGGGTAGTTAAAGTAACGGTCATCGCTTTTGTAGTGTCATACGTACCACACTGAGGTCCATTAAAAGACACCGCTGCGTTAATGCATTGATATTCAAAGTAAAGATACATTGACAATCCAGGACAAGGATCACCAGAGAACAAGTTGTCATCCACAGTTACATTACACTCATGTTGACCATCACATTGTTTCTTAACAAGACATGTTACATCAACTTCACAAGTATAATCATCACTCAAATCACATGCCTTGGCCAATCGATATCCACGGAACGATGCAGTCTTGACTACCATGTACTGATCTTGAGGACAGTTGGCATTCTCTACCGTATTTTCAAAGGCTGTTACTGAACCTGGAACAGAACGAAAATTTAGGAATAACGAGCACTAAATGACAACATCAAGTATAGGGCAAGACATTTTGTTGAACAGCATATAGCGATGTGTACAAAATGCAAAACCGGACCGCTACGTTTCTACGTTTTATTTCCTTCATCGATGACTTAAAATGAATACAGGTTTTGCTTTGTGGACAAAATTAAGGCGTCGGCCGTTCCCGAGGTAATTGAATTATTCTCATATGGATAAAGGAGGTTAATTAATACAAGTGGTTTACGTCTATAGCCTCTAGGTTAGTTTAAAAATAAAATAGCATAAAAAAACAACTTACCAAAATTAAAATGTTTATCCTCTGCATCGTTACAATTTCTCGTGAATGCGATGTAGGGATCTATTCCTTGATTTGTAGCAAGTTCAATTTTTGTTTTAGGGACTGCACACTGCGTCTGAGATTTATAATTTACAGATAAACCTCCCCAAGATGTCTGGGTTATAGCATGTTTCTGAACACAGTTTTCTGAGGAATTCGAAGCAACGAGCATATACAACATAACAAGTTCATAACCAGTAGTATACCTAGATGTTGCCTCGAAACATCCCTCTCTTTTCAAATTGAATAGTGCACCATTATCACGAAACCGAGACTGAGCAGCTAGATCCAGACAATTGTTGGAAAGTTCCACATAAGATAAGTTTCCCCATTTCCCGTTTGACTGTAGTACTCTTGTGACATGAATACACTTCCCTGTCTGTACATGTTTCACAAAGAAACAAGCAGCGCCTGAAACAAAACACAAAAGTAAATAACGAAGTCCATAATGGACTCTTGTTGCGTGTCTGTGTCATAGTACTTCATATGAACGCAAGAATATGACGTAAGTATATTTCATTTGTGTAAACGTGCCGGCATATATCAAGCTAATGGAAGCTAGCTAATTAACTAAAATGATTGACTGTCCAGGCGCTGATGTACATTGTTTATTGCAAGCAGTTATTCTGATCCATTCCTCAAAAATTTTAACTTCACAATTGGTTCAAATATTGCCAATGAAGTTTAATCCAATATTATATATTCTGTAAACTGCAGTGTATACAGTAGCTAGCCGCTGGGACACCCTTTATGCGACTATAAGTTTCGGCACGCATTTTTGGTAGATGGCAGATGTCGGATAGTGGATCGTCGTCGATAGCCACATGACAGAATATTAATGAGCAAGATGTCCGTCGTGATATATACCGGGCGATTTGTATATTGCAAAGTGTTTCGTTATTTTTCATGCAATTTTAAAGCGGGTTTTACGCCAAGGAGGTGAGAAAATCAGGGACGTCAACTGGACGTGACGTATTAAAATGCAACTAATTTGCAGTCATGCTCAAAATAAAATTAAAACAGGGTTTTTTAATATAGATATTATTCTTACAGACATGCACACTTGGTGAAATTTTTATTTTGCAAACTGCTTTGATACACTATCGAAATGTTTCGTTATCTTTGTACCTATACAGGGTGAATAAAAAAACTGAACAGATTTGAAATTGCTCTCAGTTTCGCAAAACAGCTATTATATATATATATAGCTTCTTTGGGTACTTATAATGTAAAATAATAAAAAAATTCTCGAACTCAAGTCTTTTCCAACAAACTAAAAATGGCTTGCGCAGGGGATTTGAAAGCTTTAATCTTATTTTGGGCTACTAAATGGGTGAAAAAGATGTTGGGTGTTTAATTGCTGCACAATTAATTTCAGACAATTTGCTTCGATCAGTTTAAGCCCTGTAACTATTCACGCAAACTTACATTTTTTTCATACAGTAAAAAAGAATTTTGCATGCTTAATTAATGCCTTTGCCTATCATTTGCTTGTTGCAGCAATATACGAATTAGGTAAAGGCATTAATTACGCATGCAAAAGTAATTAAAACCCCCAACAAGGTTTCTATCCATTAACTCAAAATACGATTAAAGCTTTAAAATTCCGTGCGCAAGCCATTTTTTCGTTTGTTGGAAAAGACACCGCACATCCCTGGTTTACAAAATTTGAGTTCGAGAATTTTTTTTCATTTTCTACATCCGATAGCCTAAGTATCAAAAGAAGCTATATATATCAAAAACTGGATACTAGCCTAATAGCTGTTTTGCAAAATTGAGGGCAATTTCAAATCTGTACAGTTTATTTTATACACCCTGTATAGGTCTATTTAGTTTCGGTTATACCTGTCACGGTTTAGGGGGAGTTACTGTTTTTAGACTTTTCTAATTTTGTACTCGATCTTTTGTATTTTAAACTTAAGGGGGTCTTCCACCCTAAAAACATTTTTTTCAATTTAAAGGTTTTATCATCATATTTGAGTCAAATATGATGGAATATCCTCAGCTGACGCAGGATCAGTAACTTTTACATTCGTCGTTGCCATAGTAACTAAGATAG